CCCCGCTGCTGCCACCACTGCCACATCTGGGCCCCGCACTCTGCTACAGTCATCTCGGGGTGCCAGAAGGCCTCAGCCCCCACTGCCTTCTGAATCATCCCATGGAGGGGAAAGGCTTGGGGCCAAGGTCTGCCTGGAGGGACCTGAGGCCTGAGGTATGAAAGGCCCAGAGAGGGGCCAAACTCCACTGGGAAGGACCTGAGGCATACAGAACATGAGGTGTGGCTCAGTGAGGGGTCAGATAATGGTGGCACAGTGAGGGGCCAGAGTGAGTGTGGCCCAGTGAGAGGCTGGGGGAGTTGTGCAGTGAAGGGCCAAGGGGTCAAGACCCACTGAGTGGGGCCTGATGTCTAAGTGGGCCAGAGACCAAGTATGGCCCAGTAAGGGGCCAGGGGAATAGTGGATTTGGATGCCATCTGTGAGGCATGGGACACGGTGTATGGGCAGTTCAGAGCCATGTGTTTGGCCCGCGGCACCAGGGCCACAAATGGGGCAGTCTCCTGCATTACATCTATTTATTTTACATCAAAGGCATGGCAGGAGAGTGAAGGACAGACTGCCCTAAAACTGGTGGGGAGCATCTATATCTTTGGGTGCCCGGGGACCCCCCACATTACACTGTGCAATGTAAAACATTCTGTTTTCCTGAGCACAGCAGGAATTAATCAACAATGAGATTGTATCTTTGTTCCTAGTTCCACTTTTGCAGTCAGCACATACCCAGCAGGACCATATTCCCAGTGCTCATTCTATCCAGTTGTTCCTGATTTTCTGCCCCTTCTCTCTTTTTGCAGTGTTTACTCACTGCTTCCCTCTCTCATGAATACACTTCTGCTAAAACAGAGCCCTCTGCATCCCTCTGTCTGCACATTCTTAGCATGTGCCTTTTTTGGGCCAATGACATGACTGTGTTTTGGGTGGAGACTGCTACAGTTTCAAGACTCTAGTTCCATAAAGATGCTTACTTCTTTTGTACATTTAGCTCATGTGAAGATCTGCTACACCCATTCATTTCAGCAAAGTTTAACCCAACTCCACGGACCTGTAGACTTTAGAAAACTTACATTTTCTGTTCATGTCACAATGAACCTTTGTTAATTCCATCTTGTGGACTTCCTCTCTGTTTCTAATTTCTGTCATCAGTTTGTTGATTTGACTCTCATATTCCTGAGAAGGTAAACAATATATTGTAACAAATCTTTAGCCACTTGGACCACCCTGGTTACCACTATTCACTACATACTTAAATGGGAATTGAGAAGAAGGTACTGTCTGCCAGATCCTTGCATTCATACTTAGCTGTCACTTAGGCCATAAATAGCTCAGTTATTTCATAGGAAAATGTTATAGTGATTAGTTAGAAAAATTCCTGTGAAACAGAACATTCAAGGGGGGCAAGAGTGCCCAAAAGCCTCCCTGGCTCACCAAGGACGTCCGGGAATGCCTGGTTGCCAAAAAGGCAGCGTACACCCGGTGGAAGGGAGGGGGGGCGATCTCCAAAGAGGAGTATACCTCCACTGCTCGGGCCTGTAGGGGGGCTGTTAGGAAGGCTAAGGCGGACATAGAGCTAGGACTAGAATCCAAGATCAAAGATAATAAAAAGTCCTTTTTCAAATATATAGGGAGGATGAAGAAGGTGCCGGGAAATGTGGGGCCCCTGCAAGATATGCTGGGCAATCTGGTGGTTGCGCCAGAGGAGAAGGCAGACATCTTTAACAAATTTTTCACCTCTGTTTTCTTGTGCAGGGACTGGGACTCCCCCACCATGATTCAAGACGGACTTGAGGGAAATGCCTCCAGACCTAAGGTTGAGGAGGACCAGGTTAGAGTGCTTCTGGAGGGGCTGGACGTGTTCAAATCAGCAGGTCCAGATGCTCTCCACCCCAGGGTGTTGAGGGAGCTAGCAGGGGTTATTGCAGGGCCCTTGGCATGGCTTTGGGAACGCTTGTGGTGCTCGGGCCAGGTGCCAGGTGATTGGAAGATAGCCAATGTGGTCCCCATCTTTAAAAAAGGGAGGAGGGAGGACCCGGGCAACTATAGGCCCGTCAGTCTTACCTCAATCCTGGGGAAACTCTTTGAGAAGATCATCAAGGAGCACATCTGTGATGGGCTGGCATC